GTAGGGAAATAAACTGAGTTTTTTTTACTGCTGTTATTTGGGTTTGAGTGCTGGATGGAGTGCTAACTTGTGTGGAAGGTACTTGGTTTCTGCTGCGCTGCCTGTGGTGAGGTGTCCTTGCCTGCAGTGAGGACCTGGGCTGTGGCCCTAGCTCCTGGAGCCTGCAGCTGCCTTGGAGCTCCTACCTCTTCCTCCACTGCTGGCCCTGAAGGACCGTTCCCTCTGTGCCAAGGGCAGCCAGGGCCCAGGGTGGCCCTTGTTATCTGGAAGAGAGCTGGTCCCAGCAGTGCTGGACTGCTGTGTCTTGAACACCTGTGAATGTCCTGACAGCTGACAAGCTGAGGCCAGGAAGGGCCCCCAAGCTCCCTGTGTGCCAGCAGGTCTCAACCTGTCCCTGTGTGTGCCTGCTCTGCTCTGGGGTGCCTTTGTCCTCCTGCACACCTGGCTGTGGTCTGGAAACATGGGCAAGCCATGCATTTGGTTTCCTTCCCCAGATAGAGCAGGGAGAATGTCTGGTTTGTCTGGCAAGGAACAGTTTGCAGCTGCTTTTTTGGCTGAGGACCTTGTTGGGTTCCTGTCGCATCACAGCACATCTCCCCTTCTAAGGCTGGTGACAATGACAGCCCCAGCTGAGCTGTACTCACTGCACGCAGCCTGGGGCAGCCAGACTCACTCATGGGGTGTGTGGTTGTAGTCTCACAAAATACCTTTAGCCAACATTGCTCTGCCTCCCACGTGCAGCACTCATCTCTGCAGCACCCAACCTTCCTGCACTGCCATGGGCTGAGAAAGGAGCCGTGGGGTTTTTTGGTGGGAGTTTGTTGTTTGGTTTGGGGTTTTTTGTGGGTTGTTTTTTTTTTTTTTTGGCTTGGAGGAGTTTTTTTTTGTGTCTTTTTTGCCTCAACACCACATGCTGATTTTATATTTAATTCAACAGACTTCTTTCTTAGTTAAATCCAGTTGGCAGCTGGTCACCAGTGGTGTTCCCCAGGGCTCAGTACTGGGGCCAGTCCTGTTTAACATCTTCATCCATGATCTGGACAAGGGGGCTCAAGTGCACCCTCAGTCAGATCACAGATGACACCAAGCTGGGTGGGAGTGTTGAGCTGCTGGAGGGTAGGAAGGCTCTAGAGAGGGATCAGGACAGGCTGGATCAATGGGCCAAGGCCAACTGTATGAGGTTCAACAAGGCCAAGTGCAGGGTCCTGCACTTGGGTCACAACAACCCCCAGTAGCACAGCAGCATTGGGGAGGAGTGGGGGGAGAGCTGCTGGGCAACAGAGCTGGGGAAGGGTCTGGAGCACAAGTGTGATGAGTTCCCAGCTGAGGGAACTGTGGCTGGTGAGCCTGGAGAAAAGGAGGCCTTCTGGCTCTCTGCAATTCCCTGAAAGGAGAGTGTAGTGAGGTGAGTCTTGGTCTCTTCTCCCACGTTACAAGCAATAAGACAAGAGGAAATGGCCTCAATTTGCCCCAGGAGAGGTTTAGATTGGATATTAGGAAGAATTTCTTCACCTAAAGGGTTGTCAGGCATTGGAACAAGCTGCCCAGGGAAGTGGTGGAATCACTATCCCTGGAGGTATTTAAAAGTCATGTAGATCC